AAAAAAAAAAAAAAAAAAAAAGTGAGAAAATGTTAAACAAATGGGATTGTTTTTTACGAGCATACAGTTCTTGCTGTAAGAATGAAATGTTTTCTCCTATTTACTGAGTACCTACTCTGTGCAGCCCTGAGGACACCAAAGTGGTAAGTCCTGGTGAAAAATGAATAAAAATAAAGTGGGATTTTAATAAGAGAGGGCTGCCAGGGCCGGGGAAGGTAGCAACTCAAGAGAGAGAGTAAACAGTGAGAGAACCCCTTGCATGGTGTGGGGTCAGGTCTGAATGCTAATACATAAGAGGAAGGGTCTTCGAAAATTCATGGAAAGGTGTACTATCAAAAGAAACTACGCACAGATTTCAAAATTATTTTGCACCAAAATGAACTCATACTTTTTTTTTTTTAATTTTGCCATAAGGTGCATGCGCTTGTGAGAGAGAGAAAAAAAAATGAGAAAGCACCCCTCCTGGGAAATGGCCGCACTGTAATCCCTTCTCCGTTCTCCTCTCAGGATTTTGGGCATGCATGCACATGCACACGCACATGCACCCGGCATATTTTTCTAGCCACTGGGTCCGGGGCTTGAAAAAAGAACCATACAGTCTATCATGTGGGATCTAGTGTCTTAACTACCACGCCACCTGGCTGGCCCAATGCACTCATACTTTAATTCCATTTTTCCACAAACTTTTTGAAGTCCCCTTTACACCAATGCAAGGCTTTTTACTGCTCTGTCTCCCCAGCGTGGCTGTTCTTGAGGGCTAGCCATGGGGACGGTCACTCATGGAGTGGCACCCATGCTCCCTGGAAGCACAGAACTGTGCAAGGTCTATGTTACTGACACAGACGGGGAATAGGCTGCTGGTTTCTTCCCTGGGGAGCTTACTCTGCATACATTTCTAACTGAAGCTACTTCATTTTGAACATCCGAACACATCCTACTTCAAAAAGATAGCATAGCCCAAAGAGTTCTAGGTCTGTTACGACAACTGTTTTTCTTCCCTCTGACCGCAAGCATGGCACCTGGGGTGCTTCCTTATACTACGGGATTAAAGAGTCAACGGTCCTGGCAGTCATGAACATGTTACCTTTTTCTGCATAATTCTCAGCTCGTCACTCAAGTTGTTATTCACCTTCATTAGCTGTTGTATCTTGGCCTCAGAAGCCACTAGAGCGTTTTTGACCTCCATAAATTCCTGTACAGTGACTGGTCCATCTGATAAATCTGAATCTAGGCTCTAAAAATAAATTGGGGAAAATGTTCACAATCTGAGAGGATGATAACATGAAAGACTAACAGCTAAAGAATTTCAAAATCTGACCATGCCAGCTAGGTTGCAAAGCAAACTGAACCAAATCAAGGCTTCTAAGAGCAATGTGAAACCATGACATGAAAGTAGGTCGCTACAAAATTTAAAAAAAAATCCATGGTCAATGTTTTCTAATGGAACAGGTGGAGGGACTATAAAGCTAGGTGACAAGGACTGTGTAAGGTTTGTCCCGTCTCGTATGACTTTCTTTTGCTTGCTCATTTTTCTTTTCTATGCATTCTTTCATTGATTCCCACATTTTTAGTGAACGTTAGGAAATGTTATGTGCCTGGGATGTATCAGGAAAAAAAAAAAAAGGCTAAGATGCCTGCTTCCATGGTGTTTACATCCTGACAGCGGCATGAGAGCGAGAAATCAAACTAAGTTAACATGGTATGATCGAAGGTGATTAGTGCTCTGGAAAGACAGAGTGGAGCAGGGTAGGGGGCTGCAGAGCTGAAGTAGGAGTAAGGGTGGGCTGCAGGTTAATCAGGGAGCTGGGGTAAGCTTTGAGTAGGCAAGGTGTGGGCGGGAGCCTAAGGAGGTGAGGGAATCAGTCGGCTGGTATCAGGAAGGATGTTCCAGAGGCAGCAGAGCTCAGCTCGCAGGAGGCAAGGTGGCAAGGGCACGGGCCAATCAGAAGGCCTGGTCACAAATGTTCTGTAATGACCTTGGCTTTCACTAAATGAACCAGGTGGCTTCTAGGGAGTCTGGGCAGGGGTGACCCCTGCATCTGCCAACGGCAACATTGTTCTCTCATGGTCATGGAGCTAGAAAACTCCGGACATGTCTTCTAGAAGTCTGCCTCTCCACTTCAAACCTCCAACTCCACACCTAGACTCTCCTCTTTGACCTGGTTTTTCATCCATCCTCCAGGGCCTGCTGAGTCCCTCTGGGGGCCAGACCCGGGAACTCAGTGGGGAGTAGGCTGCGTGGAGCCGTGCTGCCCTGTTTCCTGGTTCACACCTGGGTGCCACAGTCTCTTTCCAACCAGGACTCTCACAGCCCAGGCTCTGGTCAGCTCCTGACTTTCTCAGGAGTACCTTAACTGGGCTCCCTGCCCGTCTATCAGAATTAACAGTCGTCCCCAGAGGTGGCTCTGACCTTTACTCTCACCCTGCCCAGCCTCCTGGGCTCTGTACTACCTACAAGGTCCATGTTCTTCAGTGTGGCCTGTTCCTGTCTTAGCTTTGAGGCTGTCCCTGAGTGTGGCCAGCTTCCCCACAGACGACCTGGTTTCACCTGCTCTCTGCCTGGACCAGCCTCCCCTGCCTCCCGGAGGGCACACCTTCAGTGCCATTCCATGGACGGAGCCCCTCGGACGTCAGCTTCTCTGCGCTTCGCAGGACAGATGTCACTGCACCTTTTCACGCAGTTCTCCCTCCTCCCACACAGTGACATCCTCACGCAAAAGGGACTAGGCCTCATTCCAGACAGTATTACCCAGAGAAGTCACTCAGTAAACATTTGTCAAGTGAAAAAACACACTGGTCACTCCTCATGAGTTTTATAACGTCACGGCTGCGGTAGGGCTGTGACTCGGCGAGTGACTCCAGGACAAAGGACCCTTTGTTTTAAACCATCCCCTTTGTTCCACCTGTGTTCGGCCTGAGCTAGTCGTGAACCCGACTTTCATTCTACCGCTTGCTCAGGGCTAGCTCTCCAGGGAATGACCAAGAGGGAGACTTGGCAGGAGCAAGGTTTTCAGAAGACATGGGTCCGCCCTTCTGTGTGAGGGCGTCCTCTCACCTTCTGCCGGTTCGCCTTGCTTGCAGTGGTTTCCAAATCTGGGTCTTCATCTGATGCCACGCTGTCGTAGTCTGGCTGGTCGTTGTCTTGACTCTCAACACTATGCTGATTATTGATGGTTCTCAAGATGAGTTCCACATTGTCTATCAAGAGAAGCAAACAGCTTTACTTCAGGCTGAAACCTTTCTTTTCTTCCTTCCAAAAGAGAGGATTTTGTGGTTTAGCCATTTAAAGGACCGAAAGAAAATGACAAAGAAAGCAATGCTATAGTCAGCAACACAGAAGTAACAAAAAGTTCTCAACCAGATGGATAGCTGCAGAGAGATTCAAGCACCGTCTGATCTACCTACCAAATATGGGCAAATTAAAATGAAGGCTTAGGAATGAGTTGCTCAGATTAAGGAGGCAGGGTCTCAAGGTTTTTCTTTTTTAGAGATTTTTGCTACTGGGTTGCGTGTGCTCGCCGGAGAGACAGAAAGTGAGAAATCATCCCTTAGGGAGGATAGTCATGCTGTAATCCCTTCTCCACTCTTCGCTCGGGATCTTGGGTACACACGCACACGTGCCCAGCATGAGTTGTAAATCGCCAGGTCTGGGAATCAGAACCATGGTCGACTACGTGGGAGTCCAGCAATGTAACCATTACACCATCTGCTTGTCCCAAGGCTCTTAAGTTTTCATAGCATATGGCTCTAGATCGTGAAGACAAAGTTGAAACTAACATTAAATTAAAGCCAAACTGTAATTTGACTATACCTGACATTTGTTTATAAGGTGATATCATGTCAAAACAGAAAGCAAACTATTAAACTAGACCCTAGACACTAGGTACTCAAAGAATACATACTGACATTGGTCGCCTCAATTAGAGAGAGAGAGGGGAAGAGAATGATTGAATGAAAGATTTCACAAACGACCTAAGCCTCTAATTTCTCTCAGGTAACTCAAGCTAACCTTTTTTTAAAATCGTGTTTGCCAGGGACCAGCAGTTAGCGTAATGGCTATGTCACTGGACTCCCACGTAGGCGACCGCGGTTCGAGTCCTGGACCCAGTGGCTTAAACTCACGCCAGACGCGTGTGCGTGCGTGCCCAGGATCCCGAGAGGAGAATGGAAGAGAAGGGATTGCGGCGTGGCCATCCCCCCTGGGGGGTGATTTCTCTCTTTCTATCTCCCTGTCTCTCTCTGTCTGTCTGGCGAGCGCACACGCCCTATAGCAAAAACCTCTCCAAAAAAAAAAAAAAACACATCGTGTTTGCAAGTTATTTTGTTACGACAGTATCTGGGTGATGAATTATGGTTACTTAAAAGGATTAGGTCTGGGGCCTGCAGGTGGTGTGGTGGTTAAGGTGCTGGGGTTCCACATGGCGAACCACAGTTCAAGTCCCAGACCTGGTGGCTTGCTTTTGCACTTTTTCCCCTCTCTCTCTGGTCAAACTAAAGAATGATAATAAAAAGAAAATAAATAATTAAAAAAAATAAAGGACTAAGTCTTACTTTAATTGTTAAAATAAATACTTAAAAACACATAATCTGATTAGAGAAGTAATGAAGATTCGATATAGAAAATTTGGGTGGGCTAGCAGGTAGCATGAAGGTTAAGAAGGCTGGACCTGTCTTAGCTTTGAGGCTGTCCCTGAGTGTGGCCAGCTTCCCCACAGACGACCTGGTTTCACCTGCTCTCTGCCTGGACCAGCCTCCCCTGCCTCCCGGAGGGCACACCTTCAGTGCCATTCCATGGACGGAGCCCCTCGGACGTCAGCTTCTCTGCGCTTCGCAGGACAGATGTCACTGCACCTTTTCACGCAGTTCTCCCTCCTCCCACACAGTGACATCCTCACGCAAAAGGGACTAGGCCTCATTCCAGACAGTATTACCCAGAGAAGTCACTCAGTAAACATTTGTCAAGTGAAAAAACACACTGGTCACTCCTCATGAGTTTTATAACGTCACGGCTGCGGTAGGGCTGTGACTCGGCGAGTGACTCCAGGACAAAGGACCCTTTGTTTTAAACCATCCCCTTTGTTCCACCTGTGTTCGGCCTGAGCTAGTCGTGAACCCGACTTTCATTCTACCGCTTGCTCAGGGCTAGCTCTCCAGGGAATGACCAAGAGGGAGACTTGGCAGGAGCAAGGTTTTCAGAAGACATGGGTCCGCCCTTCTGTGTGAGGGCGTCCTCTCACCTTCTGCCGGTTCGCCTTGCTTGCAGTGGTTTCCAAATCTGGGTCTTCATCTGATGCCACGCTGTCGTAGTCTGGCTGGTCGTTGTCTTGACTCTCAACACTATGCTGATTATTGATGGTTCTCAAGATGAGTTCCACATTGTCTATCAAGAGAAGCAAACAGCTTTACTTCAGGCTGAAACCTTTCTTTTCTTCCTTCCAAAAGAGAGGATTTTGTGGTTTAGCCATTTAAAGGACCGAAAGAAAATGACAAAGAAAGCAATGCTATAGTCAGCAACACAGAAGTAACAAAAAGTTCTCAACCAGATGGATAGCTGCAGAGAGATTCAAGCACCGTCTGATCTACCTACCAAATATGGGCAAATTAAAATGAAGGCTTAGGAATGAGTTGCTCAGATTAAGGAGGCAGGGTCTCAAGGTTTTTCTTTTTTAGAGATTTTTGCTACTGGGTTGCGTGTGCTCGCCGGAGAGACAGAAAGTGAGAAATCATCCCTTAGGGAGGACAGTCATGCTGTAATCCCTTCTCCACTCTTCGCTCGGGATCTTGGGTACACACGCACACGTGCCCAGCATGAGTTGTAAATCGCCAGGTCTGGGAATCAGAACCATGGTCGACTACGTGGGAGTCCAGCAATGTAACCATTACACCATCTGCTTGTCCCAAGGCTCTTAAGTTTTCATAGCATATGGCTCTAGATCGTGAAGACAAAGTTGAAACTAACATTAAATTAAAGCCAAACTGTAATTTGACTATACCTGACATTTGTTTATAAGGTGATATCATGTCAAAACAGAAAGCAAACTATTAAACTAGACCCTAGACACTAGGTACTCAAAGAATACATACTGACATTGGTCGCCTCAATTAGAGAGAGAGAGGGGAAGAGGATGATTGAATGAAAGATTTTACAAA